TATTTTTAGTAGAGACGGGGTCTCACTCTTGCTCAGGCTGGTCTCGAACTCCTGACCTCGAGCGATCTGCCCGCCTCGGCCTCCCAGAGTGCTGGGATGACAGGTGTGAGCCACCGCACCCAGACTTTAACTGTATGTTTTTAACAATTAAAGGAAAACAAAAAAAATAATTCCAAAATGTGGGCCACTTCATTATGACTATTACCTGTATACTGTATTTATATTTAGGGATCTACACACACACACGCGAGCATGTTCTGCAAACTGTTCCTTATGAGAAACTCACAGGGTCATTTTGACTACATGTAATTTAAGACGTGACCCCTCTTTCTTCTCTCGTTGCTAATATCAAAAGCAAGGTAATGAGACAAATTCGCTTCTAGATACAAACCTATAGATTTCGACGTTCCGGTTCTTTTGCCTGGCGAGCTTAGAGGCGCTGGCTTCTCCCGCCACGATGATAGTGTTGTTTTCCATGACGACACCGGTACACACGGTTCCTAACCCCTCGCCATACTTGGGAGATGAGATGTAGTAAGTCTTCTGAGATACCGGATCGTAACAAAAGCTCGCATCTCCGTAGTTCCTGTGTCTTGATCGGATTCCCGAAGAATCGTTGCCGATGCACAGCAGAAGGCTGGTGGTCTCCATGCCGTAGCGAAGGTGTGGAAGGTTCCGTTGAGGAGCCTTGATGGCTTTGAATGCATCTTGGATTATGTCGATGCAATCGGCATCACACAGAAGCATCGTATTACTTCTGACGGCTCGTCTTAAAAAAGAAGGGTTTACGAGCTCCAGTCTGACTTGCTTCAGGAGCTCCACGAGGTGCTCCGTGCGCGACACTCGGTTATGATTTACCCATCTCAGAACTACGTCCAGAACGCTCTCCTCTCGGGAAACGTTGAGATCGTCTGATTGAATGAGCTTGAGGAGCTCGTGCACTCCGACCTCCAGGATTTCATCGTGCAAGCACACCTCGGCGAAGTGCTGATACAAGTATTTTTTCGATTGATCGGATAAATCTTCAGCTGCCATCTGCTCGGCGAAGTAATAGATGCCTACACAGTTGGAGGCATCTATGTGGTCCATCATGTATTTCTGACACGCGGCGAAGATGTCTTCCATCTGCAAAAAATAGGCAGCGGTGGCTACGGTCTGGACGTTGGCGTCACTGATCTCCAAGGCTGCATCGTACATGTACTTCAGTATGACGGACACGCTCTCTGCTGTGACGTCATGCAGCACGACTTCCCTCTGGGTACATTCCAGGAGCCCGCAGGTGAACATGGCTTTGAAGTAAGGACTAAACGCGCCCAGGACCAGCCGGTGACAAGGAAATCGCTCTTCTTGTGCTATGAGTACCACGTCAATCATTTCCGCTAATTCTTTCATGTTCCTAATTTTATTCAGTAAATTCAAGCTGTGCTGGGATTTCCCTTTTGCCTCAGTCTCGGACTCCATGGTACGTGCTCCAAAGTTTCCAAGTGAGCCTTCTTCAAATTCAGCGGGATTCCCGAGGGGCTGTTTGCACGTCGATTACTCGCAAGGCAGCAGAGATGTCAGGAACCATTCCTGAGGGAAAGAAAAGCAGTTTTCTTCTAAGAAAAAAATTCTCTATAATTTGGGTATGGCAGCCTTAGCTCTCAGGATTATTTATAAATAAACATCATTCGTTCCAAACAGAGCAGTTTAAGACGACGACTTTTGTATCTAAAAACATCTTTGATTACGTAAATGGTAAATTGTTAACCACGAACACAGTATTTTCCTAATCGGCAGCAGACATTCATCTGGGATCGGAAAGTCTTCCCTCCCAAAAAGGACGAAGAGAGAAATGATGAGATGGGCACATTTTGCAACTCTATTTCCAGTTACCAAATTCAGTCGACCTGCAGGCAGAGGGTACAGGGGCAGCCACTCATACTCTCTCCGAGGAGATGCAAAACCACCCAAAAGATTGTATGCATCCCCTCCAGAAACCAAAAATGCACCCGAACGTTATAACAGCCAATCCACAGAATGATGACTGAGACCATAAATAGGATATACCCTGGAAGCGTGAAGACCGAAAACAAATCCGCTAAAATTCCGCTCCAACTTTGACGTGGGACAATAATTCAGAACAGTAGCTGAGAAAGATCATTTGG